TTCCTTTCACAGAGAAAGTGAGATGGAGCATGGCTTCTATCTCTGATGTGTGTTGCTAAAATAACTCTTCTCCCAGAACTGTTCATTAACTGCAGTCTTTGGTGTCATTTGCTCTGAAAGCTGGTTGAAGTACATCTACCAGCCTGTGTGTTTCTGTGTTTGTCTAGTGGGAGGCAGTTACCCACTGCAGAACTTGCTGTAATTTTGTCAGTTGAGCTCTTTCAGTAAACTTAAACTGAATGTATAGCTGTCTCTTTCCTAAATTTAGCCAAAAAGGAAATACATCTCAATTTCAAAAGGTGTTTGCAATGGAGGGGCTTTTTACATAGCTAATCTTAGCTCTTGTGGTTTGAGCCCAGAGGGCAACTGAGCTCATTGCAGCCAGTTGCTCAACCCTTCCCCCTCAGAAATGGGAAGGAGAAAATAAAGCAAAAAGCTCTGGAATTGAGATAAGGACAGGGAGGGATGGGTCACGCATTAGGGTCATCCTTAGGGGAAGAAAAGAGAATATCAATTCCATTCAAACACTAACAACAACATTTAACAGACAGAGTAGGACAGTGAGAAGCATTACCACATCTTAAAAACACCTTCCCCCACCCCTCCCTTCTTCCTGAGCTCAGTTTTGCTCCTGATTTCTCTACCTCCTCTCCCCAAGCAGTTCAGGGGGTAGGGAATGGGGGCTTCCAGACAGTCCTGCCACTCCTTCCTTCTCAGGGGGAGGACTCCTCCATTCTTCCCCTGCTCCAGCATGGTTTCCCTCTCATGGGAGACAGTCCTCCTGAAACTTCCTCTGATGTGAGTCCTTCCCATGGGCTGCAGCCCTTCCTGAGCTGCTTCAGTATCGGTCCCTCCCACATGTTGCAGCCCTCCCAGTGACAAATTGCCCCAGCACAGGCTGCCCTTAGAGTCACGTCCTTTTTCAGGTACAGCCTCCTGCTCCGGGCTGCAGGTTGGCATCTGCACCACTGTGGACCTCCAGAGGTGGAAGCAGGGGCTGCCCTGCGGTCTCATCACGGGCTTTAGGGGAGTCTTTGCTCTGATGCCCCTCCACCCTTTCCTTCTCCTTCCTTCCCCTGACCTCAGTGTTTGCATAGGTGTCCTCATCGCAACTCCCCCTCACAACTCCAACTCCTCCTCCCAGGTTCCCCTTCTTAAATATGTTATGGCAGAGGTACAGCCTCCACTGCTGATTGGCTCAGCCCTGACCAGAGGTGTGTCTGACTTGGAGCCAGGGAAGCTTCAAGAAGCTTCTCAGAAGGACTACTGTTGTAGCCCCCTCCTCTGCTACCAAAAACCCTACCACAAACACAAGCCCATCACATTGGCAAAGAAAATAAATATTTTGGAAGAGTTCCTGAAGAGTTACTTAATGTTAATATTAACTTTATTATTTGAGAGGGAGGAGGATGAAAGTGATTTTTTTTTTTCTGATAAAGGGGACTTGTATGAAGACCATGCCCTTTTGCTGACAGAGATCAGGTTGGAAGAGAGGTGTGTTTTATTGTAGAGGCCAAAAGCTTAATTTTGCATGAGATTTTCTTGGTCTTTTGTCGTCTTTACAGATGGTAAAGTAGGTAGTCAGAACTGAAGTTCTGTCTTACTGCATATATTGTTAATCACATTAAAATTTTGAATCTATAGTTGCCATTTTGATAGGGTTTACAATGAAATAACAGGCTGCAGGATTCAATACACTGAAATTTTTAGGACTCACAGTTTAGACTGTCCAGATTTTGTCTTCTACAAATTATATGGGATTTATTTTCTCTCTGTGTGGAACTAGATTTGCCAAATCTGCAAGGTCTCAGATGGTACTAATGCTGTTTATCCCTGCCCTGTAGATCTTTGTGTAGACAGTCATCCTGCTTCTAGATACACAGTCTGTAATACCAGATGGTTAATAGTCCAAATACTTGCCCAGAAACTGCGATATCTCAGAAGTCCATACCCTTTTTTAAATGTCAGCTTTCTAAGAATGTCCATGTGTAATGATAACTATATAAGTATTTCCAAACTGGAATACTTCTGAATTTAAAAAGAAAAAAAAAAAAGTATACAGGGGTTGAACCTCACTTTATTTTAGTGAGCCAGACTTTTATGCTTCAGGGAGAAAATGGCAGCTTCCAACCCTGGGAGAAAGAATCCTTCTCAGAATTTTTTTGTTTCTTTGCTTTTAATTTCAAGGCAGGGCAAATCCTGGTACTCCTGACTATATTTCTCTTCCACATGGATGTGCATCTTTTTTTCTTATGAGTACATGAACAAAACTACTCTGTGTCAATAAAATACTTGCTTAAACGCGATAATTAATGGGTAACCTTATGTATACTTTTTCTGAAAGATGATTTGATTTTGATGGAGTTGGTATTTTCTATGAAGTTAGTGGGTTTGAAACATTGCAATGAGTTTAATTTAAAGAACAGTCTTATTTAACCACCTATTTGACTCAGTCTGTGAGAGGAAATAGCGAGAGAGACGTGCATTTTCTCTGCCTATTGTGCAGGTCTATGATATACACATGTGGCTACAGATTTTCATTGTCCTTGTTGCTGATTTTTCTTTGTTAGCTTGTTCCTTCTCTTGCATTTAGCTGGGCTGAATTCAGCCAAAGCCCTTGGCAAGTTTAGGTTAAAAGTATTTGTCAGGCTAAAAGAAATCACTTATTGTGATTCACAATAGCTAATGGCTATCAACGTTAGCATGATTACAAGAAGGATGTCATTGCTTTTGCCCAGCTGATTTTTCAGAGTTCTGTCTCCTGGCAGGCCCTGGTTTAGGTGTCTATGAAATGGAAATGAGGATTTGGGAAGAAAATTTGTGAGATCTTACTTTCACAAAATGTTTGAATACATCAATAAGTTCTAAAGATTTTTTTTTTTATTGTTGTTAATGCATGAACCTATGGTCAAGGAAAGAGAACAATTTTATTGCCTTCTTCTTCCACCTTTGGATTCTGGCAGTAGTGTTGAAAGGTAATGCTCTATTTACAAGCCAATAAAAGTAATCTTTATTACCTAGACATGTGCCTTAATATTCTCCAGGTTAACACATGATCTTTTGAACAAAGTTGTCTGTAACAAGATTCATTTGGAGCAGTGTTTCAATAAAAAATTAAAAAAAAAAAAGAAAAGAAAAAATTGAAATCCTGTCTTGAAGAAGCTGTAGGCAGTACATATCAACTTGACATGGAGAGGTAAAATGTGCAGTATACATATCTATAACCTAGATGTCCCAATTTTGCACTTCCTATTACTCCTTTAACATAAGGTGCACAAAGCATATCATGAGTCAGTCACTCCCTGTCCCCAATATTAGAAGATGTTTTGGTCCTGTGAAGAGGCAAGGGTGACCAGACAGGGCATCCACAAAACCAAATGTGACTTCTTGCATGGGAACCTGTGGAAAGAGAGATATGTTTCCTTGCAGGTTTCCTCTCCAGATTTTCAGAGCTTGCCAGACAGCAGGTAAGCTGTCTCTGGCATTTTGGGGTTTGAAACAATTGATAAATGAATAGCTGTGGTAGGAAGCAGTAAAATCGAGGCACAGCTGCACTGGAGCAGAAGACGGGAGCTAGCCGAGTTTCTCTCAGATGGAAGGCATAATCTTCACATGTTTGGTAGCTGTTCTGTGATGGCTGATTTATCTGTGGTCTCTGGAAATTATCTGTTTGTACTTAAGAGTCTTTAAAATCAAGAAAGGAAACTAGACCCTTTTTGTAGCAAAAATGCTGCTTTCTCACCAGCCATCCAGTTTACTGTATTCCAGAAAAAGCAGAATCTTGAGGAGCTATACTGCTTTCACATTAAAACCTCAGGCTGTTTTTACAGTGTACCTCTGCGGCCAGTTAACCTTGGCTAAGGGCTAAACTCTCACTCAGAGACCTGGTCACTCACTCTGCCTCCTCAGTAGCACAGGGCATGAAGACAGGGTTAGAAGGCTCATGGGTCAACATAAAGACAGGAAAATTGCTCACCAGTTAATGTCATGGGCAAAATAGGCTTGACTTGGGGAAAATTAATTTATTTTTTTGCAAATTAAAATAGATTTGGGTAATGAGAAACAAATAAACAAACAAAACAAAAATGAAAACACCACCCCGTGACACCACCTTCCCATGCTCAACTTCACTCTTTGTTCAGGACTTGCTTATTTCTTCCACCTTCCTGAGTGGCACAGGGGGTTGGGGGAATGGCATTTGCAGTCAATCTATAACATCTCCTCTCTGCTGCTTCTCCCTCCTCACACTTTCCCCTGCTCCAGTATGGGGGCTCTCTGTGGGCTGAAGGGAAGTACCTTTTCCAGCACCTGGAGCACCTCTTTCTGTCCTCCTTTGACCTTGGTGTTCACACTGTGGTTTCTCAGTTTTCTTTTTTTTTCCTCACATCCTCTGTATGTGCAGTGTTTTGACCTTTCTTGTGCCTGTTTTCCATGAGGCACCACCATCTTGCCTGAGGGGCTCAGACATGTGGGTCCATTGGAACCAGCCGGATCCATCTGTCTGGCACAGTGGAGTCACTGGTCTCTCTTCACCTCTGCTACCCAAACCTTGTCACTTATACCCATTACAGTTTTCCTTCACTTCACTTTAGTTGAAAGTGAAGACTGCTGCACATACATATTTATGGGATGTCAGCAGCCTGCAGGACCTTTTACTGCAGGTGGGATGATCTTTCATGTGTCCTAGACATTTCTCAGGACAAGAGAAAGAGCGCTAAAGACTCAGGTGCTATAGTGTGTAGCAGCCATAATAGGATGAGTTATGCCATTTTCTGAGGGGCTTGCATTGTATTTGCATGGAAACTGAAACATGTGATTTGCTTATTAAATAGAGGATGACAGTGTGGTTTCATTAAATCATCCCCTGTTGAGAAGAAACATGGACACTGTTGGAGAAGTTTTATTTTCCTACCAATGTGATTTGCTAGTTCTTAGTCAGGTGAGACTCCCTCTGTTTCTGTTGATAATGTTTGGCTGACATGATTTTCCTCTTATAACAGATCATGGTAATGTCAGATGGCACATCGTTCTTTTCAGGACAGAGCCTTTATCTCCCCAACCTGCCCAGTAACTCCCTGTCTTTTTCCGAAGTGAAGAAGAAATCATCTCATGGGCCAAAGGTGAGACTTAATTTCTATAAGATACTTGAGCCAATGGTGCTTTCCCTGGGAATTAACTTGAGAAAAAAAATACTGCTAAGTGTTTTTGCAATCTCATGACATAGTCCAGTGATAATAGGTGTTGATGTTTCTTCGTTGTGAACCTACTGTTCACCACATGAAAATAATGCAGAACAAGGATGGCTGTGAGAACAGGTGCCAATGAAGGTACTGCTTTTCTGGTTTTTGTACTTGTACAATTGTTTTCTTCCTTTCCCAGAAGGAAATCTAATAGTCTGTTGTAGTATTAGGGGATTCTGGTGATGGCAGTGTGATCTACAGAAATGTAAAGAATATGAGAAAATACTATAATAATTGTTTCATTTATTAAGTATTTTAGAATACTTTCAAAGATAATTGTGTAAAGTGAAACTTGAAGTTGTGTTCTCTAGAATTTTTACTTTTGTTTCAATTTCAAGCGTTAATTCTTTACTAGGTGTTTCAATGACTGCAGTGTATCATCAGTCTGTAAGACATCAAATTGAATCCCCAACCTAGAACATGGTAAAAAGGATAGTAAAATGTACCTTTTGAGTAATACAAATGGACCTTTCCGAACATCAGATAATTTCTTCAGTTTGACAAAATGAATGAATGGTGTGGGAGAATAAAGAACATCTTGTTGTTTATTCAAATAAGAAATAAAACAAAACAACTTGCTTCATAAATGAATTGACATATGTGCCTTTTCTCCATTGTTAAATTGTTTGGGTTTGGATTTTCTTTCTTAGCATCTTGTGAATTTGAAATATGTTGCTTAATCTTGCAGCTTATGTATTGCAAGGGGCAATACCCATTTTTATCAATGACTTTCATGTTCTGTAGCTGTGCGAAATCTTGTATCTCGTAAGAATTGCGAGGTAATGAACTATGGGTATGCCTAAGTGTGTCTACAGCAGTAATGATACATAGAGAGGGGGGGGAAAAAAGTTCTTTGAGGTGTTTCTGCCTGGTATGCATTGTACCCGAGTGCCTCACAATCTCTGATTCAGGTCTTCTTGCAACATTTAAAGGATATATGGATGTATGATTATTTTTATTTTCCTAATGAGGAGCTGAGGTAGATTGAATCTGAGGATTAGACTGAAGGCATTTACTTTGGAATGCTAAAATGACTGCTTTAATGCCTAAAAGGAAGGCACCTGGCTAAACCAAGTGCTGCAGCAAGGTGCTGAAGATAATTGTCCAACTGTTTAGACTGGGACACATCTCGATCTACTTGGATACTGAAGATGAGTTACTTAGACACTTTCCATCTATAATAGGGGTTCTTGTGAGGTTGTGTAGCTCTCTAGAGTTTAGTTTCCAATCACTTCTCCAAATTTGGCTGTGAAGTTAATTCACCCATGTCTTGCATTACATGCCAAAGCAGGCATACTGTGACTTGGCCTGAATAAGCAAGCCAAACAGCTGCAGGGCTTCAGGGAGCTACTGACAGGATATCAAGTCCTACACTAATACTCCATCTAGTAACTGCACACCATGATAAGAATGTATCTCCAGTGTAAATTTTTTCATAAGCAAATACTAACCTGGGATGTCATTTTCTGAACCATATTCAGACAATTAACTTTTGTCTGGTGTATAAACCTGACAATCGTGAAGTGTGGTTGGGGTGAAGCAGGGTGAAGGGAGTGTTGCATGTTTTCTGCACATGTCCTTATCAATGAACATTTGAAATCTTTAATTTTTGCTGAAGAAACCCAACCACCTGCTGTGAGTTTGACACGTATCAGGAAGTTAAGAAGTCAGTAGGCAGGTTAAGTGTGCATTACATCTCAGGACTGTGTTCAATATCTGTAAAACTGTTACCTGTGAATGCTTTTTAGGTATTTGGTTTCAAAGTAGCGATATTCAGCAGCAATGTTATCTATTTGAAATAATAATTTTTTCAATCTTTTATGCTGTTCATTGGAGTTTTTAATAGTGGGAAGAAATCTTACATCAATACAACTGTTTCTTGCCAGTCAGTGTGAATATTCAATTTTTCCCCTTCCCTCAGCAATCTCTGTCTCCTCCTGTCCAACTGAAAACACACACTAATGAGCAACTGTTCTTGTCTCTCATAAAGGAAGAATTGTAAATACCTGCCTTACTGAGGATCATCAGCAGTTTTTGAGAAATGGAAACATGAAGTAACCTTGGTTTTAGTACAACAAAAAAAGTTTGTATTTTTTATTATAAATCCTGTTGCTGGAGTTTCTGTTGTGGTTTGGGGGCAGGAGAGCTACAGCCAATGTGTAAACAAATTTTTGTTTTTGTCATTTGGAATAACTCCTTTGATGGAACAACTTCAGTGTCCTAATTTCATTTAAATATGCCTCTAGAATAGAAGCTGTATAAGGGTCTTAGTTCTTGGGTGTAAGCTGTCTGTACCAAAACTGTGGGTGCATGTACTCCAGGTGTCTGTCCTGGATGATTTGGGGATTTTTCTGCTGCAGCAACAGCCCTTTGATGTGCTTGGCTTGGTTTTGGTTTGCTTTGTGTCTGTGAATACCAAAATAAACTTTGAGGTTAGTTTTAAACTCTGAGTATGGAAAACCAGAACCTAAGAATATTTGTGTACCCATTTGCCGCTACAAAGCACCATATAGACTTTCTGGTTAAGGGAAAATTGCAGTCAAGACAATAAAACCAGTGCAACAAAGTAGTACTGTTGGTTTAGCATTCACTTATAAAAAAATACAATGCAGTATGAAATAAGAGAGAAGTGTCAGTTTGCTTTCTGTCACATCCTCTTTAGAAATATATATTTAAAAAATACAGATATATTTCTGAATTTCCATGATTTTTTGTTTAATTTAACAGAGATGCTATTAGCAAGACCTGTTATTGTGATTCTAAAACAAAGCTTTAGTCTTGGAAATAAAGAAGACAGGCAGAAAAGCATGAAACCTTACTTCATTAATTTTTTCAGAATATAAAAAAATCTGCAGGCTAGCTACAGATTCTTGTGTTGCTTTTAAATCAGTTGTATTACTGTGCCTGTTTGTATTATGTAAATACTACATGCACAGAATACATGGAAACAGCTTGATTAGTTTTGTTGGGATGATTATGTCTTTTGGAATGAGCTGTAGTGTCAGCTACAGTGAAATGAGGTTTACTTTATAAACAAAAAAAAAGAAAAGCTCATATTCCCTTGTGTGACCAGAAAAAAAAAAAAACAAAACAAAACAAAAAAACCCCAATTGTTTTATGCTCTCCCTTTTGGCTTTCTCTGTCAAACCAGTGAGCCTTGTAATTTTCCACCTGCTTCTAATTCTCCTGATGTCATTGGTCATAATAGTTTGATGGGCTGGACAAGCTGAAAGCTTTGTCAATGTGTGATACAGTAGTAATCTGTAAGAAGAACTAGCAGCAAGTAAATTCATCTCTAGCATGTGTCTAGTAAATGGAAAAATACCATAGTATTTGTGGAAGCTTTCAAAATGCTGGAGTTTGGGGGGGTTTCTTGTTTTGCTTTGTTTTGGTTTGGTTTGTTTTTCCAGCCAAATCAGTTAGTGTTTTTATTCAATAATAAACACATTTATATTCATCAGAAATCTGAATTTCCTTGAGTGAGCATCATGGTTTGAGCTCAGAGGGCAACTGAGCACCATGCAGCCACTCACTTCGCCCTTCCCCCCAGCGCTAAGAAGGAGAAAATAAGGTAGGCTTGGGATTCGAGATAGGACAGGGAGGGGAGAGTCACCTATTATGGTCACTGACAAAAGGAAGACTCATTAGGGGAAGAAATAAAAGAGCATAAATTTAATACAGACATTAACAACAACAGTTAACAGACAGAGTAGGACAGTGAGAGGTGTTAACACATCTTGAAAACACCTCTCCTCACCCCTCCCTTCTTTCGCATCTCAGCTTTGCTCCTGATACCTCTACCTCCACCCCCAGAAGTGCAGGGGCAGGAAATGGGAGGTGCAGTCCGTGCTACCACTTTTTCCATCTTTGGTGCGGGAAGGAACTTCTGGAACTTGTTCCCCCTGCTCCATCGTGGTCCCCCTCTCACAGGAGACAGTCCTCCACAAACTTTCTCCAACTTGAGTCCCTCTCACAGGCCGCAGCATCTCCCCAGCTGCTTCAGCCTGGGACACCAACTTTCTCTGATTTGAGTCCCTCTCACGAGCTGCAGCCCTTCCCAGGCTGCTCCAGTGTGGGACACCCCCACATACTGCAATCCTCCCAGCACCGAACTACAGCAGCGGGGACTGCTTTTTCCAACAGGGTCCTGGCCTCCTTCAGGCTTAAGCACTTGAGACAATGTGCAGCCTCCCACAGACCACAGGTCAGTCTCTGCTCCACCATAGACCTCATGGGTGGTGGGGGGCCACCCTGCCATATCACCACAGGATACCAGGCGTCTCTGCTCTGGCACACCTTTACCCCCCACCCCCTTTCCTCCTCTGTTCTTCCACTGACCTCGGTGTTCACATAGATGTTGCAACTCCTCCTCCCAAGTCCAACTCCTCCTCCCAGGCCCCTTCTTAAATACATTACCACAGACGCTCAGCCAATTGTTTCAGCCTTGGTGCAAACATGGGTCCAACTTGGAGCCAGGGGTGCTTTGAGATGCTTCTCACAGGGGCCACAACTGTAGCCTCCTCCCCTGCTACCAAAAACCCTACCACTTACTCAAAACCAGGACAGCAAGTAATCCCTTCTAGATATCTTCTTCTTCTTTTCCTCTTAAGAGCTGGAGGAATTGGCTTAAGATGGACACATTGTTTCAGTAGACATAATATTCGAAAAAATACTTTTTTATTACAAATTAAAATAATGCATGTTTTTATGATCACTAAATTTGTAGGCTAAACCCAGAGTACAGTAGACTAGCATGGCCTTGCCAGTGTGCTCAGTTTAATGATTAAATAAAATTCAATGAACTACCCCTCCATCCCCACAACTGCTTCATCTGCTAATTAGGTTCCTAATGTCTGTCAGCAACTGGAGAGGTTTGAAAT